CATTGTAGACAGTCATGACTCACAGAGTTATTTTCAGAGGAGATACTTGATTTCTACATTTAAGTGTAAAACATCACATTAAAAAAACATATAAAGCCTTTAAAGGATTAAGCAAAGGTTTTAATTTTGCTCCTCTTTTGGGGCAGCAGTAACTCAGTCTGTAGGGACTCTGTAAGGTCGGGAACCAGAAGGTCACCAGTTCATGTCTGGGCAGACCAAAGAATGGAAGTTGGAGAGGTGCCAGGTCACATCCTGAGTACTGTCGAGGTGTCCTTGAGCAAGGCACTGCACCCCCAACAGCTCTGGCATGCTCCCTTCTTAGCAGCCACCCCCCCACCCCCATTTCTGACGTCTCTCCACTAATGCATGTCCACAGGTCCTGTGTGTGCATGTGTGTGATAAGGGCCTCTTTATGTAAGAAGCTCTCATGTGAAAATGCAGAATACTATTTGTTTGTAAGCAGTCTGTCATAGTTCCGTCTGTGAGACTCAACATTCTTCCTACAAACAGAAATAAACAAACAAACAAACATCACCTCTCCATCACGCTGCTGTGAATATAAGAACAGGAGCGCCATCATGTACAGTCAGCTGATCCAGAGATGAATGACTCCAACGTTTATATCTGCAGGACAACATCAGGTTCAGGGTGATCAACAGCAGGGAGACGATCAGTCGCCGTCTCCACGGTGACTGAATTAGAATAGATTTGAGCACGCGGCAGAGTGGATGTCTCAATGGAAAATCAATACTGAGCTTCTGAGGTCTTAATGTCAACACATTTACTCTGTCTTTGTCTTTGTTGCTCATCAGAGGGCGTTTTCTTGCTGTTTTCTGTCCTTCAATGTTAAATCTTTGTTATTAGAGCGCTTCTCACCAGTCCCGCCCCTTCTTGATTTTGATTGGTTGGTGAGGGAAAGTGACTTTGATGATTGCTCTAAAAGTTTAATTGCTTCCAACTGAGAGCACTGTGATTGGAAGGAATAAAAATCAGCTGAATCGGAGGGCGTTTTAGCGCTCACGACGGAGAGCTGAAAACGCTGACTTTGTTTGTATCAAAGACGGGCGCTGCCATCCCATCAAACGCCAACTGTGGACACAACTCCTAAAGATCCACTAATTGATTCAACATTTTCTGTCACTGTTCCCACTTTTCACATATAATCTCTGTTTGAGGTCATGCCCGCTGACCTTTTGGTTGGCACCTCATTCAACCATTTTCCAAATGAACATCCATGTTAGAAATTAATAGAAAATGATTGCAGATTATCAACGTTTAACGGATGTTTGCTCAGCTCTGGTCTTTAGGTCACTGCTCCTTTAAAGGTCACATATTTAAAAAAACACTTCTCCATGTTCCTCTAACTCTAACATGTGTCTCTAGTCTGTCTACAAACCCCCCAATGATGAGAAAAGTCCATCCTCTCCGTCTTCTGCCTGCTCCATTTTTCAGAAAATAGTGCTCAAACAGGCCGTTTGGAGATTTTCCCTTCATGACATCGCAAAGGGCAGTAGCCCCTCCCCCAGGTGGGTGACACTCCCACAGCTAGGTGTTTGTTCTGCCCTCTGAGTCTGCCTTCTCACCGTAAACAATAGGACATGGAGCGAGAAAGCACCGAGTACACCCAAGCACCTTCCAGAGAGGGGGCGTGGTCAGACACAGCTCATTTACATATTTAAAGGTACAGACACAGAAACAGCCTGTTCTGAGCAGGGCTGAAATAGAGGGGTTTATAGACATGATCAAATACAGGATCAGAGTGGATTTAGAACAAGAAACTTCACACACATGTTTTGAGGAGCTCTGAGACTTATTTAAACTGAAGAACAGGAGGAGGAGGATATGTGACCTTTAAAGATAATGTGATAAAAATAAACATCGACTTTTGAGTCAGTTAAACAACGGGCTCAAGACTCAGTGTCGTACTTCAGCACTGCTTCTCAAAATAGAAGAACAAAAGAACAGTTTTAAATATTCAACTCTATTAATCTGTCGAAACGCTGTCGTCAACTTTCATGTTCTTCTCCTGAGCAGAAGATTATTTAAGGAGCTCCATTATGCGGTCCCTGACGGAGCCTCAGTGACTCAGTGGATCAGATGGAAAGCGTGAAAACAACCTAATGGTCTGTGTGTGTGTGTGTGTGTGTGTGTGTGTGTGTGTGTGTGTGTGTGTGTGTGTGTGTGTGTGTGTGTGTGTGTGTGTGTGTGTGTGTGTGTGTGTGTGTGTGTGTGTGTGTGTGTGTGTGTGTGTTCATCCAGCCATACACAGAGATGTGAGGTCATCATAACACACCGTGCCAGTTGGCGTGGTCAGATATCCTGTCCTGCGGTTTCAGGAGCCACGGCCGCCTTTTCATATCTTTAATTTTCCCATGATTCCTTTTGAGGTAAACAAGCTCGGGAGGATTCGACGCCGTTCAAACAAAAGCGTTTCAAACATGAACTCCCCTTTCACACCAGGCTCATCTGAATATTCAGATCTGTCAGAAAAACAACAATTTAACCCCTGAACGACACAGATCCATGGCCACAGGCCGATCCCTTTGCTGCTCTGTTTGATAGATACTAGTATCAGTGACATCAGTCTAACCGGCCTCCAGCGCCGCTCGCCATCTATCATCGCTCCACGAAGGTCAGAGCACACTTTTGATCCAAAGTATGTGACGCGTGAACTGAGCGGCCTTTAGTCTTTAATATCTGTTAGAGGAAGCCCGGAGCACAAAGCTGTTTGTTTTCATGGCGTGCACCGTGGTTAATAATGTGCTTATGGCGTGCTCACTGAAGTGTGTTATGAGAGAAGTAACCAGCACACGACGAGTCTGTCCGCATGTTAATGTTGCAGCATGTGTGTGTGTGTGTGTGTGTGTGTGTGTGTGTGTGACTGTGTTTGAGCGGGTGCCAGCTCTGGAAGCCAAATCACAATGTTACATTACTGGAGCTTTGTCAACAAATGTCTGCGGGCAGCCGAGTGAACGTGACAAATATAACGTCCTCAGAATGAATATATTCTGATGCTCTTCTCTTTGTGATGTGTCTGCTTGTTGATCTTTAAGAATCCATAAATACCTTTTCAAGAACCTTTTAAAATAATCAGGTGTGACACTTCAAAACCAGACTCAGTTGCAGAGAAAAGTCCAGGACACAAAAAAGCAGGTTGTAAGGAAAAAGTTCTTTACTTAACAGTTTGTTTGGTGTTACACAAGAAGACAGTCAGCGAGGGCAAATCCACAAATCCAAAATCCACAAATCCAATCAATGGTGAAAACCGGGGAAGCAAACACGAGGTAAATAAGGCTGGAAAGCATGAAACACTAGGGTATCGATGACAGGTATAAATACAGGTCAGACTAATTGGAGATGAAACACAGATGTGTTGGAACAAAAGGCGGGAAACAGAACAATGGCAGGAAGTCAGACTAGAAATCATACACAAGCAGCAGACAACAAAAATAAAACCGGAAGTGAACATAAAACACAAGAAAACAAAATGTGGACTAACAGAATATCACATCAGGACATTTTCCCCTTTAATATGATGAGACTGTGACACACCGAGCAGATGGCAAAGGACTAGAGGGGACGAAGGCTGACTGTGGCGTCGGCGCACTTGGCCAAAAAGTTGCACTTGAACACACCGCAAAGACTACAGCCGACGGCCAACCACCACGTATGTTCTGCTCATGAGAGGAAATAACTCTCCATGCCAGCAGGGGGCAGTAGTCCGTTGTTCTGATACGAGAAGACCATTTTCACACCGCTGTCGGTCACCACTCGTATTATAGATAGACTACTAAGAGGAGGAGGAGACAAATAAGGAGAAACCGCACTAATGGGTGAAAGCATGGAGACTACAGCGGCATGCTCAAGAGGCTTTACTGAACCTGAGAGCTGGAGAGAAATGAAACCTCTGAACAGCCATTAAAGGCTTTATATGTGGTCATGACTCACAGAGTTATTTTCAGAGGATAGACTTGATTTCTATATTTAAGTGTGAAAAATCACAAATAAAGACTTTAAGAGAGATTCCTCTCCCTCACATGTCGAATCGACCAAAAAAGGCAGACGGGTAGGTAGGGAAAACTATGGCGGCAACCGACAATCTCCTTGGTGTGTCATGGCCTTTAGACATTACCTTACTGAAATCCCTCTTTTAGAAGGCAATGAGTAAGTGAGTCGCACGTCCCGTGTACAGAGGCTACAGAGGAACGGCTGTGGCTCTATTGGTGGAGACGGTTGTATCTAACCGGAAGGTTGGGGGTTCGATTCCCCAGCTCCTTCAGCTGTCCTTGGGCAAGACGCTTTACCCCGAACTGCTGCTGCTGCTTACAGTACAGTGTGTGTCCATCGAGACATGAGCTAATCACACCTATTTGGTTTTATGAACCAGGCTGTAAACATGTTCATCTCTGCTGTAAAAACAGGCTTTTTAGAATGGGTGTGTATGTGACTTCCTGTGCTTCTGCAGCCAGCCTCTAGTGGACACTCCAGGAACTGCAGGCTTTTTACACTTCAGCGTCAGCTTCATGTTTAAACACTGAAGGTCGCTGCTCGGTATATACACTGTTGGGACTTTTTAGCTTTCACTGTAGCTCAACTTATATTAATGCACGTGCATGAACTGAGTGATATTTAGAGGTATCGTTCTTCTGTCAAACTTTGGTGCCAAAGAAAATAATTTCTCCCTAAAGGTTTAATAATTCCTTTAAAATCAAGCTGACTCAGAAATGATCGTTCAAACTCAAGTCAATTCAAACTGTCATTCCACCCTCTCTGCTGCATAGCTCTGTTTCTCCTGCTGCGTTTACCTTTTACTGACCTGTCACCTTTATTCTTCCTCTTCTTCTTCCTCCTCTTCTTCCTCTTCTTCTTTTCTCTTCCTCTTCTCTTCTCTTCTTCTCTGCTTCTTCTTCTTCTTCTTCTTCTTCTTCTTCTTCTTCTCCTCTTCTTCATCACTTCTTCCTCTTCTCTTCTTCTCCTCTTTCTTTCTGTGTGTCTGATAGAGTAAAGATGCCGGCATCAGGACTCTGGTCATGTTGGATGAGCAGGGAGGTAAGTCATAGGGAGAGAACTCTATCCCTCTGTTTACCTGTTGAATCTGCTCTGCTACCAGTTTCTACCTTTGCTGCTATTTCACGCTGTGTAACGGGCGTTATTTAACCGCAGTGCGTCCAGTATAACACCGTCCCGGGGAAATTACCTTTATGGTTTAATAATTACAGAAGCCGAAGAAGATGTAACCTTACGTTGAGCTTCTGTCGAGTCTTTGAAGTAATCTCTGTGTGGTTAAAAATGTTTATACTGGATGACACTGTTGGGCCAGCGCTCTGCTTCGCCTCCTTTTTAATCCATTTCTGTGCTCGCCGCTTGTCCGAGAAACAAGTCGATGTTGGCTCTATGTGTCTGATTATTCTTTAGATCTGTATTTGTATTAATTCAAAGTGGTAACACAATGATATCGACCACTTTAAAAATAAATAAATCACTGTTTTTAACCATGCTCTCTCAAACCTGGCTGCCATGTTTTCCAGGGCACCGGACTGACCGACTGACTGACTGAGAGGTCAGAGGTCAGCTCGTAAGAAATATAGACTTTACTATCACCCTGTGTCTGAGAGGAAAAAGGCTGATCAATTTGACTGGTAACGACAAACACATGTTCTCACTCACATTCCTCCACCTCCTCTCCAGTTCTGCCCATTAAGACGACAAAGCAGCAGTTTGACCCGTTAAGGTTTGATGGTCGTTCCCTCAGTGTGAGGAAACAGGAAGTCACTCCAGTAATGTGGGGTTTAACAAACTGAGTGGCAATAATGACAGAGATATGATGCAGGGTTTTTGAAACTGGAAAGTCAGCATGACCTCTGCTGCTTTCCTGAGGGTGAGTGTCCACGCCTCAACGCCTTTTTTGAGGTGGACCTGCAGCACTTTGGCGTCCGGCACCAGTGGTGACCATAAAGTCTGTTATATGTCCTGTGAATCATGTTTGCATTTACCCGAGGGACTTTTAAGGAGAAAACATAAAAAACTAAGGACAGAAATCCTGCTCTGGTGTAAGCAGCAGCTCTCGAGCTGGACTTTTGGTTCATGAGTTTCAGGGGTCTTCACTAAATGTAGAAAACGCTCGCCGTGCGTGTGTCTTTGCTGCCTTTAGAGGAATGTTTTTAAGACGTCACAAATAATTCGAAGGACTCACACACCTCAGGAACATCTGGCAACATCATCTTTGGAACCATCAGGTAATCAGGTCTTTGTTGACTTTGGTCAAATGGGTCGGTATCAGGCCCCAAAATCGACCCGATTATCTTGTTGCGCGTACCCCGCTTAAGGTCGTTCTCTGAGAGCACCGACCTACATCTTTTGGAGGGGCTGAAGTGCGAGTTTCCTTCTACATTAATGTGTTTTAAGACTTGGAAAGCAGCATTCTTTCTACTTGTTGTCCCGACATTAAAGGGACCGGGGTTTCGTAGGGGCATGTGTCGATGGAAGGAACCTTCGTTGTGAGTAGACGAGCAGAAAAGTCTCACTGTATGCAGACGACGTGTGAGTGTATGCATGTGTGTTACTAAAGGCTTGTGCTCAGCTCCATGCCTGACAGAGCAGCCTAATTGGCCTGTCAGAGGAACATATAGCCTGTTTCCCCTCTGTCTCTTCTTCTCCTCCTGCTGCCCCCCCCCCCTCCTGCTGTTAGCACAGGACAGCAATCAATTCACAGATTTAAATTACCTCTGCCTCTCAGCAAACGTCCTCTTAACCTGATCCCCCATCTGTCTCTCTCTGTTTTCCCATTTTTCTTCTCTTAATCTCTCCTCTCTCCTGACCTCCACGTTCTTCTTCTCCTGATTCTTTTTCCAGATGGTCCTTTGGTTAAATTTATGATTAAAGGGATACTTCACCCGTTGGGTCACATATGTAGTAGAAATGAGAAATACATTTTGAAGTTGGTGCCTTCTTGACAGAGAAAAGGCAGAAAGAGTCTTTTTGGCTCATGTGGATGAAAAATATCAACTTCCCAGAATGCACAGCACTGCATCAACCTCAACTGCTCTCATCCCTATATTGCGGCTCGTAGAGATCGCCACGAACACCCAATTTGACCTTCAAAATCCCCTTCATCCATATCAGTTTGAATTTGAAACATACTTTCCTCCATTGTCAGTTCTCCTCAGCTTTCTCCATAGAGCCTGTTAGCATAGCTTCCAAGCAAGATGGCGGAAGTTGAAAAAATGAGGAACTAGTGATGTAGTTTCACCCTCTCTAACCAAAGCAGCCTCCGATGATGCAGAATGATGATTTTTGCATCATCGGAGGCTGCTTTTGAGATTTAGAAACATGGAGCTTTCCCGTCTCAGGGGAAAATGATGGCGCGGGATGCAGGACCATTAAAAAATACTACCAAGTTTCTAATGATACAAAGCTAATGCTAATGGATGAAGTATCCCTTTAAACTCTTTTCTATCATTTTAACCCATCCTTCACATTGACTATTCAAACCTCTACTGCTGGAGCCATGCTGTTTTTAAAATCACAATTACCTCTTTCGCTCTCCTTAAATGTAAAAACCTTCCCCACTAACAGCCTCCCCAAGCCTCTGGTAATTCATAAAGTCTTGTTGTGCTGTAATCTCTGTGCCCTTTACACACATGCACGCACACACCAACGGAGGTCACACACAGGAGGAGATTTGCCTCGTCTTGCGGTGATGTATTACCTGCAGTCGAGGTGTCGCTGCAGCTAATGAGTCCCCTTCCTGCTCGGCTGTTAGTTGCATGTTGACCTGAATCACACCTCAGTCAGGGCTGATGGATTGCTGCTCATGCCTCGGTGAGCCCGAGTAGCGACCGGCAGCGTGGTATAGATGTTGCTCCGGCAGTTAAAGAACGAGATGTTAAAGTGATAACTGCCACCTGACGTCACACCCGAGTTAACCACGTTCCAGTTGCAAGAGTACCTTTGATTTGTTAGCTAACGATAACCACCGACTACGGGATAGTTTGCACGCTAACACAACTTGACAACATGTCAACAGGTTGAGCATGCTCGATATTTTCGGTGTGATCGATTTAAGTACACACAAAGATCTAACTTTACTGTTGATGCACGTAGCAGCCTTGTTGGATTTTAAATGGGACTACTGACGTTTTGTCCTTTAAAGGCATACATGAAAAATAAGATCTCAAAATCCCACTGATGAAAAGATTTATTGTGACCTGAATAGAACAGAAATCCACCTGTTACACCGGCTCCTGCTAAATAACTCAAACTGTCTGACGGCTCGTTGTTCTCGTTTCTCATTGATCTGAATCGTTTAACTTTCTTCAGAGCGGAGGGAGGAGGCGTGGGAGGACCTCTCGCAGTAATCCTCCTTCAGAGGGGGGGAGGTTTTAGTCTGAGGAGATAAACAATGCCTCTCTCTTTCTCTCACGTTTCTCCTCCGCTTGATCCCCTCGCTCTGCTGGGGATGATTATTATCACCGCCTGGAGGCCATTTAGTGGCCGTGCGAGGCAGTTAGTCGTTAAACTCCTCTCTCACATACAGGCGACAGATTTCTACCTCACAGGTGACTGAAAACGCATCTTAATCCCTGACACCTGATCCTCGATCTTCGCTCCTCGGCTTCAAGATTTCTCTCTTAACCTAAAGATTGAACAAGGAGGCAATAAAGGAAGAAGTTATTTTCCAGTGAATTGTCAGGAGGTTGATATTTACAGACCGTCTTTAGTCTGATGTTGACAGCTTATATTCCTCGCCTGCAACCCCTTCAGTTGCTCTAAAAGCATCAACGTTTTAGGATTAATTATTATTGTTATGCACCTTTTATTTTATCTGACGCTCTAATGGGAGGCTCCATGACATAATTTCATGATGTTAGGTCGATTTATCTGAAAGTTACATTATTTAACAAAAATTAGAGTGTTGTTTAAATAAAATCTTTTTTCTTTTTTTTTTTTAAAGACTATCCTTCCTAAATAAAGCAGCCACACAGTTTAAAGGCTTTAAAGGAAGAATGTGCAACTTTTTGATCCAGTAGAGGTCGCCCTTGAGCACCAACAAACTTTTGTTTGGCCACGCCTCCTCCATACTGAAGTCTCCGTTCTCCTCCAGAGACACACCTCCAACCCCTGTTCACTCGCATTAAGAGCAAGCTGCAGACAAACTTGTCCTTTGCTCGAGCTGCAATCAGCTGTGTGCTACATTGTTGTGTTAGCATGCTAATGTTAGCGCTCTTTAGTTAGCTCGTAGCTTCACATTGTTGTGTTAGCATGCTAATGTTAGCGCTCTTTAGTTAGCTCGTAGCTTCACATTTCATGTAAACTGACACAGAATGAGCGTGATCTAAAAACTCTTACTAACATCCAAATAATCAGTGAGTATGTTCTTCTTCTTCTCTCTAGTTCTTGACTAAAACAGCTTTTATACACAAGGGGAGGAGCCGGCCGTCCCGTCCATGTAAACACGGCTCTGACAACAACACAGCCAGCGGGACTCGAGCTTCTCCCTCATTGTAGACAGTCAGGACTCAGAGACACATTTACACAGGACAGATTTTAGGATTTATTTATGAGTAACATGTTGCACATTCTTCCTTTAAAAAAAACATTGAAATAAAAAAAACAACAACAAAGAAAAAGCAAATTTAGATCTGAGAAAAACATAAACATGTACAGCTGAATGTACCAACTGTTATCACACATGCCTCCTGAAAATGTCAAGAACATGTCTGACCCTCTCAGGAGGATGTACCTGATGTGAAAAGGAGCTTTTAGTCGTAAGGTTTACACGGTGTCCAAGCAATGTCTGACCTTTATATAAATGCTACCTGCAGGAGGACATATTCAGAATCAACCAAAGAGTGAAAAAAAAGAATATTCCAGCAGCAGAAAAGAGTTTCAAGCTTCATTATGAGCACGACCATCCCGCTGGTCGCTCACTGGTCGGATGATGTAAAGGACATCTTCCCTCCTGAAGCACATCAGATCGGTCTGAAAACACCATCAGCTACTTTGAATGAGTTCAGTCGATTCAAACAGTTTTGCAGCAGATTTAACGCAGCGGGCACAACACTTGAACGCCTCTTTCCCTGTTACAACTCTTTGTGTTGTAACTCTATGACTCTTTCTTTTGGACGCTTCAGCAGAGCTGCAGAAATATCCCAAACAGCAGGCTGTCGCTTGTATATCATGTGTGTCCTCTCCTGCACGGTGACTAATCAAACCTGAGGAGTGTTTTGTCCTGGTAGACAATATGCCCCTCTCCACTGATGGAGATTACAGCTCTCCTGTCCTGTGACCATTAACCAGGTGGAGAGAGGAGCTGACCTTGACTCTGGGCTTTTTATAGCTCTGTGTCCATCTGAGTCTGAGGAAGGCAGGGACACATTCATGAAACACTAACTGAGAACAGCAAGGTGTCGCTTCGCACGGAGGTAGGGAACAATGGAAACCTGTAAAAGTCCGGAGGTTTTTGCAGCTTGAAAGCTTGTTGCCTGCTTTGCTTTCTGCATCAAGCCCAAAAACATGTAGCCTCTCTTGCACCTTAGCGTAGAGCGCCAACCCTCCAAACCAAATCATTTCACTCCTCTCATGACTTTGTCCTCACCAGAACAACTTGATCGTGTGGAGGAGGGCATGAACAAGGTGAACGCAGACCTGAAGGAGGCCGAGAAAGATTTAAAAGATATAGGCCAGTGCTGTGGTCTGATTTGCCCATGTATTAAAAAGTAGGTACCAGCCAGGAGCCCCCGAGCTCTTGCCTGTCCAGTGCTGGTGGTGGTAGTGGTCATGTCTGATGTCTCTCTTGTCACAGTCAATGTCTTTTTTTTTGTCTTTTCTCCTTTGTCTGCCCTCTCTGCTCCCCTCCCCGTCCCCTCCTCCCGCCCACGACTTCTTCTTCCTCCTCTCTTTTTCTTCTCATGTGCTTTCGTTCTTGTGCTGGGAAAAAAATGACAATGTGTTGGTAATCAGAGCAACTGGAGCGCATCGAGGAGGGGATGGACCAAATCAATAAGGACATGAAGGATGCAGAAAAGAATTTGAACAATCTAGGACAGTTCTGTGGTCTGTGTTCATGTCCCTGTAACAAGTAGGTGCTGCCTGTGTCACCTGACTGCATGTGTTTCAGTGCCTGCCTGCCTGCCTTCCTGCCTCTCTCTACCTGTACGCCTGCCTCTGGTGTGTAGAGCATGCTGAACTGTGGTGTGAGCCGTCAGGACAACACACACACGCTCTGAACGGGCACCACGATGCATGCATGTGTGAGAGATAATGTGTGTGTGTGTGTGTGTGTGTGTGTGTCTGTGTGTGCATGAACAACACACACACATCCGTCTGATGCACTTTATCTGCCTCTGTGGCAGTTGTCCTCAGAAGCCCTTCATTAATCATTGGATGAGAGATTCTCTTGCAGCAGGTAGCGTCATCACCAGTGATCTGGGCCCAGCTACCCCCCCTACCCACCTGAACCCCAAACCCCCCCTCATTCATCCACCCCACAACCCCCCTGCAGGCAGCATGACACTTCATGCTGCATTCAAAGTCGAACCAAAGATCAAATCAACGAGTTGCCTTTTCCCCTAAACGACTCAGTTGAATGTATCAGAAGTGAACTTTTCATGTTGGTGTTTCACATGTTTAACTCAGTTTCATTAACACACATGTGCTACTTTATGGTACTCAGTTGTCTCAGGTGATAACAGGTCACTTCCTGGTTGTTTTCTCGAGATTTCCACGAAACCTGTGGAGGTTGAAATTAACTTGTCGTCACAGACAAACCGAGTCAGACGCTGGTATCTTGACAAAACAACCTAAATGTAGCTGTTATCACGGGTAAGCACGTACGGCTGATGTAGTCTACCCGGTTACTGAGATCAGAAACATCATTCTCACACTTTGGGTAACATTTAAACGATCTCTCTCTTGCAGTGGGTTCGATGATGTCACTGTCATGTCTGAATGGTTAATATGTTGCTGGAGTCAGTGACCATGTAGCTTAGCTTAGCTTAGCACAAAGAAAGGAAACAAGAGTTAAAAAGTTAGCATTTAAAGCTGACACAGGTGGCTATGCTCCAAACTTTGTAAACACTTAGGGGGTATTCTTTAAGACACTTAAAGCTCCATGAGTTTCACTTCAATTGCACCAACTTTGTGCTCCGTCTCAGCATCAACACAGGCACACAAAGTCTAAACAGACGTCATACAGCTTTCACTATTCACATCAAAGTCTCCTCCCTGGATCTAGCCGGTGAGCGACCCAGGCGTCTCCACACATGTGGACAAAGTGTATGCGTATGTGCTAGGGTCCGCTGAAAAAGTAATTTTTACAGACTTTATTTGACTATGCAGTTACCACCACCTCACCGCAGGTTTTTATATTTCCACTCTAACTGCTCGTGGCTGTTAGACTTTTTGCCAATGAGGTTTCATTTGCAAAATACATGATAGAATTGGTCCCAAATGAATGCATCATTTAGCATTTAAACACAAACAAAACACCGGAGCACAGAGACGCTGTTTGCTCTGCAGCGCATTTAACCCCTTTGAGTCTTAGCCGGCGCCAAAGCAGCACAGTCCACTTGTGAAACAGTCTCTTAGATATTTAACAAATTAACACGATATGGGTTCTTCTCTTAAGAAGCTGTGTTTACCTTTAAATCTGAACCAGGCTACCTGTTTCTCATGCTTTTGTCATGTGTGCTAAGCTCAGCTAGCTGACTGATGATAGCTTCATATTCACCTCAGAAAACATGACAAGGGAAAAAAATCTTCTCATCTAATCCTCTGCAAAAACAAAAAGTGCTCACACGCAGAACAAAAGAGCCGGTTACATTAGAAATAAAGCCTTAAAGGTCGGGTATGCAATTTGAATCCATTACAGTTTGGTCAGATTAAGATTCACAGGAAGCCTCTAAAAAACCTTTTACCTATCGGGCTGAACTAAAAGAACTGAAGGTGGTTTATGAGGTGAAGCAGAATTGCATACCACACCTTTAACAGAGGCCAGGTTATTCTTTGTCCTGTTATTAACCCTTTAATGACACTTGATAATCCAACATGCCATCTGTGCTAAATGCCTCAGAAATGTCCCACATATTGAAATATCAAACACCACTCGAGTGAAGCAGACTTGCTCCTTAAACATGAGCAACATTTTCCAAATCAAAGCTTGTCAATCTTTTCACTTTTGTTTTTGAAAACGTCAACGTAAAGGTCGACCCTGAATGCCAGTTTTGCCAAACTCCTGTGTGATCTGTTCTCCGGCCCGAAACAGCCAAACTATGGCCGCTGAGTCACGTCTGAGCGAAGGGACCAAAAACATCTACTGCACACAGTGTTCACTCTCAGAGCTATAGAAAACACAAGACATTTTTTTTATTAAAGAGATGCCTTAAAATTGGAGTCAGTAGCTTTTTTCTTTGCAGTTTGCAAAACACAACATTCAAACTGGGCCCCTCCTCCTGGGCTCAGAAGCTCCACCCCCTGCAGGACGTAGTGTGTACGTTTACTGCTTGTACCTACACTGCAAGCTAACACAAGCTAACCGCCGGTGTTCATCACCTTCCTGTCCAACAGGAAGTAGACCAACTCCACGTCCACGGGTAAAAGACAACACAAGGTTCACCCTCGTTTTAGAACGATCTTTATCCACTTGGTGTTTCTCCTCACTCTCATTATATTTTCTCTTTGCTGCTACGTCCTCGTCCGTCATATTCACCGCTTTGAATCTCGTCCAATCACTGAACTGTATCCACTCCTAAACTCACCTGCTGCGCTGTCATTGGCTGGAGGAAACACACCAGCTCCGCCCACAAACGTCCCGAGTCAACCGTCACAAAGCAGAACAGTAAAATCCAGTCAGAAGACAGAGTCTCTGCAGACACAGTCACCACCACACATGTACGGAGGCCCAGAAGGGACAATGGAGCAGCTTCACTTTAGGAGAAGTCTGTATTTTATTTTGAAGGAGCAGTCTGTATTTTATTTTGAAGGAGAAGTCTGTATTTTATTTTGAAGGAGAAAGCTGCTGACTCCATCTTTAATGATTCATCGTGTGTTCAGTCCATTTCTGTAAATGTGAAGTCAGCAGTCAGTCTTGAGATGTGACTTCATAGAACACTGTCTGTGTTGTTACTAGGATGGTAACGTTCCCTTTTGTTTGCTGTGAGTTATCGTATTTTTCTCATCCTTTTTATTTTTTTATTTTTTAGATTTAAATCATCCAAACCTTTTTTTCCCCAGGGCTGAGGGGAACCTTGATATAAGCACATGTAACTAAACCTCTTTATTTGCACCGCAGCGGTCACTCTGTAGGAGCTGGAGTCCGTTTCTTTTTCTTTTTTTTAAGATAGTCACTCCCCCTGTTTCCTGTATGAAGCTGGAGCTCGCTGCCTCCACTTTGGTCCTGCTTCTGATGGATTCAGATCTTGTCTATTCTATAGCTCTCTGGTCCTCCCTCTCATTCGACATGTGCTACGTGAACCTGTGGTCATGTCCCGTGTTACATCTGATCTCTTTATACGGCAGCCCTGTGTGGTCAAATAGCAGGACAGAAATCATTCTTGCTTGTTGTTATGAGCGGTCTGGAGCAGCCGATGGGAAAACGGTGTTATATAAAATAACCCAAATAAAACTTAAATCTGTTTCTAACGTGGTGACTGGGACTCATCAACTGACTCCAGACCTGGTTCTCAACTGGTCCAGCCTCAGGACCCACACCACGGGGCGCCACCCTAAATTCTCAATTTTATTCATTTATTTTTTTGTTATCTGTCTTTATTGACAAATTTAAAACATACAAAAAATGTTTTTACAAAATTCTCAAATGTATTGCGAGCAAATCTAGTGCATTTTTAATGGCTCTGTGCTTCCATTGGTCGGCACTTTGCTGCACACAGTGCTGACGTTTGTCGTCCCAAATGTAAGAAAAGCCAAGTGAATTTATTCAATGTCATATTTGCATTTCAGTGTGCGACACTAGAAGCATCTAATCAAACTTTACACTTCTTT